AGCCTCCAGGCCTGTCGCGTGGTCCTGCAGCGGAAGGTCGACGCCGTCCGTGCCGAGGTCGAAACCGAGCGGGTGGCGGCAACTAGCGGGGGCGGCCCCATGGGCGAATGGGGCTGAGCCTGCCGGGCAGCCTGCTGCGGGGCCGCGCGCTGCGGGTCCTCCTGCTACTGCTCCAGTCGGCGAGCGGAGCGGCGAACCCCGCTGGCTCCGAGGGCGCGGGCGACGACCGCGTGGCCTTCTTTGCCCGCGCCGACCAGCTCGAGGGCGGGAACCGCCGCGGGCTCGAGGGGTTGCGCCAGGCTGCAGGGGTCGCTCCCCGCCGCCAAGCGCGCCCGAGGGCGCGACGGCCGGGGCCGAGAGGAGACTGGCCCAGGCTCGGCGTGAGGTCGGGACATTGCGGCTGGACACAGCCAACACCACGTTCGGCGGCAGCAGGGTGCGCTGGCTGCAGCAGGAGGCGACCGCAGACGCGGTCTTCATGCAGGAGGTGGGCGTGGCCCCAGGCGCGGCGCCTGAGGCTGAGCAGGCCTGCCTCAGAGAGAGCTGGGAGGTGGCGTTCAGCGAGTCTGTGCGCGCCGAGAAGGGCGGCCTGTCCAGCGCCGTGGGCATTGGTGTGCGAGCGCACATCGGGAAAAAGGCAATGCGCCCAGGGGGTCCAAGCTGCCACGGGACCGAGTGATCGCGAAGTAGGTCGACTGGAGTGCCAGGGGGGTTCCTGGCGGTGTCGGTGTACCTGGTAGCTGCCGAAGGCTTCGGTGCGGAGTCGAAGCTGGTCCTGGGGCAGCTGGGGGGGCACCTCGCCTGCGCCGAGGCGCCCTGCGTCATCGGCGGCGACTGGAACTGCAAAGCCCGCGAGCTGAAGGCCTGGGGCTGGCCGCAGGAGGTCGGCGGCGTGGTCGTGGCGCCTGGGGGTCCCGCGTGCCAAGTCGGGTCAGGGTCGGAGATCGACTTCTTTGTAGTTTCGCGCGGTCTGGGCGGCAAGGTGCAGGGCTGCTGCAGGCAGGGCGCGGCCTTAGCGCTGCGCGGGCCCGTGCGGCTCCTGCTCGGTGGCAAGGGCGCCCCCGAGCGCAGGCTGGTCCACTTGGCGGCGCGGGCGCTGCCCGCGCAGCGGCCCGTTGGGCCGCGCCCCGAGCCTCCTGCATGTGGAGGAACACTGTGAGCACCTTCCTAAAACCTTCCTCGTGGAGGTTTTTCCCAACCATCCTGTGGCGTTGGGTCTTCGTTTTGACGAGACAGCGCCCCGCGTCCCACCTTCCTCCTTCCTCCTCCTCCCCCCTCCTCCCCGCCCCCCCTCCCAATGCAGCGTTTCGTAGCCCCGTGGGGGGCTCCACCGAAGGCCCCAGTGGTTGCTCTCGCATGCGGTTCCCCCGCCCAGGGTAGCGTTTCGTGGCCCCATAGGGAGCGCCACCGAAGGCCCCAGTGGCTGCTCTCGCATGCGGTTCCCCCGCCCAGGGCAACGTTTCGTGGCCCCATAGGGAGCTCCACCGAAGGCCCCAGTGGCTGCTCTCGCATGCGGCTCCCCCACCCAGGGCAGCGTTTCGTGGCCCCATAGGGTGCCCAACCGAAGGCCCCAGTGGCTGCTCTCGCATGCGGCTCCCCCACCCAGGGCAGCGTTTCGTGGCCCCATAGGGAGCCCCACCGACGGCCCCAATGGCTGCTCTCGCATGCGGTTCCCCCACCCAGGGCAGCGCTTCGTGGTCACATAGGGAGCTCCACCGAAGACCTCAGTGGCTGCTCTCGCATGCGGTTCCCCCACCCAGGGCAGCGTTTCGCGGCCCCATAGGGGGCACCACCGAAGGCCCCAGTGGCTGCTCTCGCATGCGGTTCCCCCGCCCAGGGCAGCGTTTCGTGGCCCCATAGGGAGCTCCACCGAAGGCCCCGGTGGCTGCTCTCGCATGCGTATCTCCCACACAGGGCACCGTCTCGTGGCCTTATAGGGAGTTCCACCGACGGCCCCAGTGGCTGCTCTCGCATGCGTTTCCCACACCCAGGACTCCACTGAAGGCCCCAGTGGCGCAGTTCGCATGCGGTTCCCCCATCCAACGCAGCGTTTCGTGGCCCCATAGGGAGCTCCACCGAAGGCCCCAGTGGCGACGTTCGCATGCGGTTCCCCCACCCAGGGCAGCGTTTCGTGGCCCCATCGGGGGCTCCACCGAAGGCCCCAGTGGCTGCTCTCGCATGCGGTTCCCCCGCCCAGGGCAGCGCTTCGTTGCCCCATCAGGAGCTCCACCGACGGCCCCAGTGGCGCAGCCAGGGCAGCGTTTCGTGGCCCCGTAGGGAACTCCACCGAAGGCCCCAGTGGCGCAGTTCGCATGCGGTTTCCCCACCCAGGGCAGCGCTTCGTGGCCCCATGGGGGGTTCCACCGAAGGCCCCAGTGGCTGCTCTCGCATGCGGTTCCCCCACACAGGGCAGCGTTTCGTGGCCCCATAGGGAGCTCCACCGAAGGGTCCCGTGGCGCAATTCGCATGCGGTTCCCCCCGCCCAGGGCAGCGTTTCGTGGCCCCATAGGGCAGCTCCACCGAAGGCCCCAGTGGCGCAGTTCGCATGCGGTTCCCCCGCCCAGGGCAGCGTTTCGTGGCCCCAGGGGGCTCCATCGAAGGCCCGCCCCAGTGGCGCAGTTCGCATGCGGTCCCCCCGCCCAAGGCAGCGTTTAGTGGCCCCATAGGGGGCCCAACCGAAAGCGGCACACACAAGGAGTTACGAACAATTGCTTATGGTTGGGTCTTTCCCCCGGATAATTCTGAGGGTTCTGTTTGGGAGAAACCTCGTACAAGCCTCCCTGAAACCTTCCCCAGGAAGGTTCTTTGGAGCATCTTCAGCAGGAAGGTGGTGTGGAGGTTGTTGAGAGGTTGTTGGCGTAGTTCTTTGTTTTCAAAGAACCCTTTTATATTTTTTCTCTCCTCTTTTCCTTTCAGGTTGTTAGAAGGTGTTGGGGAGGTGTTGTTGGAGTCTTTTTTTCAAACAAAAGGTTTGTTGAAAGGAATGATGGAAGTATTTTGTTTTGATGGTTTGTTTGAAAAGGATTTTGGCAGATTGTTGTAGGGTTTTCGGAATGTGCTGGGCGATGTCATTAATATTCGAAGGATGTTGGAAGGTGTTTTGTTGGTTTCGTTTGGAAATGTTTGGCGATTGCTGGAAGGTTTTGTGGAAGATTGATGGGAGGTTTTTGGAAGGTTATTGGGAGGCTTTTTTGAATAACCTAGCAACAACCCTCCTCGTCCCCCCCCTCCCCCGGAGCCTGGGGAAAACCTTCCAATAACCTTCCAGACCTCGCTTGAAAACCAGAGGAAGAATCCAGGAGGGGTTCCGCGAACTGCCGCACCAGTTTCCAAATCATGAGAGCCCGGCGTACCATCTTAATTTCGTCTTTAGCGTCGATTAGCGTCTGTAGTCGATGAGATGGCGCCGATTTTGGGTCGATTAGCGTCGACTAGCGTCGATTTAGGGGGGTGAGTAGCGTCGATCTAGCGCCGATCGAAGTCGATTCGCGAGAGCCCATAAAATGGTATGGGAGGCCCCCGTGAGTTGCCACCGACTGGGGCGCCAGGATGAGGGCCTCCGCTTGCACCCGCCTGGCGTGGCGCTTAGTATCGTCGAGGTTGGTTTCATGGGCCCGCTGCTGCGCCCGCAAGGCTGTGACCTGCTCGGTGGCCGCCTCTAGCGCCGCCTCCGCCTCTTTCCCGCAGGTGCGCCCGCAAGTCGACAACCTGCTTGGTTGCCGCCTCTGGCGCCGCCTCTGCCTATGGGAGCCACGTCTGCGACGTGCCAAGCTGCTTCGGCTGCCCGGCCTGCCTACCGAGCAGGTCCTTCAATGAGTGCGCTTGTTGTGGCTTGGGCTCCTCATGCGCTTGCCTGCTGCTTGGCGAACTCGGGCCCCTCTCCCCTGTCTTGTCCTGATTGCTTCTCGAGGCCTGCAGAACGTGAGCGAGCATGGTTTTGCCAGGGCCGCCTCGTAAAGCCTGGACGACGCTGGCTGCTGAGAACGCGGGCTGGTACCACCTTCTCGCACATGCGGCATTGGGTGTGCTACATGGAGTTGCTGTACTTGCAACCGCTGCACGCCCATGTCTGGAGCTGCTGCGAGCACTTTGGGATAATCAGGACGAGGTGGGCGAGGGGAAGAGGAAGGCCGTCATGTGTGCCACATGTCGTCTCCACTTCCTGAGGAGCTCACATGGAGCTCATCTGGGCCGTGTAAGGGATGTCTTGGCCTCCTGTGTGACACTCTTCGGGGTCCCCTAGGTCCATGTTGAGGTCCTCCCAGGCCGTTTTGGGGCCGTCTCAGGCCGTCTCGGGAGTCAATTCGGCAGTTACGGGGCCCTCTTGGCTTTCTGGTGTGTGGGTGTGTGTGAGATAGAGAGAGGTATCGTGGGGCCGTCGATGGGCCAGGGAATGGTTTTCTGCGGCGTTTCGGGTCCCTCCGGAGGCCGTCTTGGGTTGTCCTGGGGCCGTCTTGGATGGATCGTGGGCCATCGCGGGGGGCCATCGCGGGTTCCTCTCGGCCCATCTTACGGCCCTCATTGGGGCCTCATGTGCCGTCTTGGGGCCATCTTGGAAGCTTTTAGGCGGTCCTGAGGTAGCGGAAAGCCTAAAACTCTGGAAAAACGAACTTGTTTTTTAGACCCTGTTGGGGTCTTTCTGTGTCCTTCTTCGGCCTTCTTGGGGGCATCTTGGGCCGTCTTGAGGCCGTCTTGAGGCCGTCTTGGGCGGCCTTGGGGCCATCTTGGGCCGTCGTCGATGCATCTTTGACCATCTTGGCGACTTTCGTTGCCTGCTTGGACCGTTTTGGAAGCTCTGGACGCAGACAATTTTTGAAAGAGGGATCGTGGCCTCGGGAGCGCGGAGCCACAGTTTTCCGAGGGACGGTTGCCTCAGGAGATCGGTGCTCGTGCCTGTCTGTGATGCGAGAGGGGGTCCTTGAGAAGCAATGCCGAAGGCCTACCAAGCAGAACTTGGCATTCCATTCTACCACGCCTCAGCGTGCCCGCGGGCGCGGAAGCGGACTTGGACAGCAGCCGCGGCACTGTTTGGCACAATCCTGAGGAAGACGTGTGCGTCCAGGGCAAGGCTGAATGGGACCGCTGCTTCAGCGTATCGATGGGGCAGGTCTGGATCTGGTTCCACTCCACTACCAAGGAGAGGGCCAGCGACTGCCCAGATGCTCTGCCGAGTGTTCCGTTCGACAGCCACACCCTGGACCGCTGGGGTGTCACGTGGTGCTCCGACAGCGGCAGGGCGAGCAAGATCTGGACGTGCCGGCACACCGGAGCGAAGCACGAGGACAGGTCCTGTCGGTGGGCCCGCGTGCGCAGCAGGTCTCTGAACGCCACCGTCTGGTTTCATCCTGGACCGCCGCTGCAGCGCCTGGAGCACTGCCCCTTTGCGGCCGTCGCGCACGGCAGCGGGGCAGAGCAGAGGCCGCAGAAGGCCCAGAAGCACGCGGCCAGGAGCACTGCAGGACAACCCGCGCCTTCAGCATCTTCGCCGTCGCAGGCCATGCTGCCAGTGTCGCTGGATGGGTTTTGGACGTTCGTCGAGCGCTGCATTCGCGGGACGGTGTGTCCTTCGTACGCCCTTGGCGGGCTCGCGCTGCTGTTGCCAGATGTGAAGGCGGTCGCGGGGGATATTGTTGTGCAGCATGCGGGTTGCCTTCCTCAGATGGGCAATTGCATTTGGGCCCCACCCCTAATGCCGCGCCGCTGATTCGGGCCATTGGGTGTGCACCAGATGGCCTTCGTCTCGCTCGTGCCAGCTCGCAGTCTGTTAATCCCTGCCCACTGGTAACCACTCGTCGGCAATGGAGGTAGGGCTCATATGCGGCTGCCCGGGAGATCCTCTGGCGCAGCATGCTCGTTGCTTATTTGGGTTGCGGCGGCCCTGGTTTTCGCACGTACGCCAAGATTTCGAATCAGATCAAGCACCCGTGCGACACCACGCCTGGCGATCTCTGCAACATGTATACCTATTTGAAACGATTGATCATGGAGGCGTGCGCCCCCGCCGCTGGCCCCAGAAACTGCGGGTGACCCTCGAGGTTGCAATTCGGAGAAGTGAAGGGGGAAGGGTGGGGTGATGGGAGGTGAAGAGGAGGAGGGGAAGAAAGAGTACGAGTAGGATCAGGAGGAGGTGGGGGGACAAGGAGGAGGAATAATAACAATATGAGGAAAAGGGGGGAGGATGCATATGAATTGTTTGAATATGGTGTCCCGACTTGGTGATCAAGTCTCGTGACCTTGCGTTGTCATCCCAGAACCCAGTGGCGTAGAGTTTTTTCGCCCAGGTTGGTTTTCGCCCGGTGCGTTTCGCCCGGTTTCTTTCGCCCGGGTTTGCTTTCGCCAGGTTGGCTTTCGCCCGGGTTGGCTTTCCCCCTGGTTGGCCTTCGCCCTGGTTGGCTTTCGCCCGGGTTAGCTTTCGCCCGGTTCGCTTTCGCCCGGGTTGGCTTTCGCCTGGGTTGGCTTTCGCCCGGGTTGGCTTTCGCCCGGGTTGGCTTTCGCCCGGGTTGGCTTTCGCCCGGGTTGGCTGTCGCCCGGGTTGGCTGTCGCCCGGGTTGGCTGTCGCCTGGGCTCGTTTTTTGCTTGGGTTCCCGCGTCCATCGAGAGCGGGGGCGACGGGCATGGATCCTGGGTGAGTGCCGCGGGCCGGAGGAGGACAGGAAAGGCAAGACCGCGAGGGGAACGGAGGAGGGCGACCAGGAGGGGAATGGGAGGACGGGGAGTCGTCGTCGTAGTAGTCGTCGTCCTCCTCGTTGTCGTAGTCGTCGCCGCCACCGTCGTCGTCGTCGTCGTCGTCGTCGTCGTCGTCGTCGTCGTCGTTGTGATCTCGTCGTGGTGATGGTCGTCGTCGTTGTCTTAGCCGTTGTCGTCGTCGCCGCACTCGCCGTTGTCTCTGTCATCGTCGTCCTCCTGGTCGCCGTCGTTGTCGTCGTCCTCGTCGTGGTCGTTGTCGTCGTAGTGGTCCCACCCGTCAGGGTCCGCCCGGCCCGACCCGACCCGCCTGTTAGCGTTCGCGCGTGCTGAGTCGAGCGCGCCTCACACCTTAGTGCCCCGCCTGCCCGACCCGACCCGCCCGTTAGGGTCCGCCCGACCCGACCCGACCCATCCCGCCCGTCAGGGTCCGCCCGACCCGATCCGACCTGCCCGTTGAAGTTCACGCGTGCTCGCTCCAGCGTGCCCCACACTTCTGCCTCGCTCGCCCGACCCGTCCCGCCGGCCAGGGTCCGCCCGCCCGACCGGACCCGCCCGTTAGGGTTCACGCGTGCCCACTCGAGCGCGCCCCACACTTTAGTGTTCCGCCCGCCCGACCCGATCCGACCCGACCCGCCCGTTAGTGTCCGCCCGACCCGACCCGACCCGACCCACCCGTTAGAATTCACGCGATCTCGTTCCGGCGCGCCCGACACTTTTGTGTCCCGCCCGCCCGACCCGACCCGCCCGTTAGGGTCCGCCCGACCCGACCCGACCCGTCCCGCCCGTTCGGGTCCGCCTGCCCCACCCGACCCGCCCGTTAGGGTTCACGCGTGTCGCCCGGGCGTGACCCACACTTTAGTGCCCCGCCCGCCCGACACGACCCGCTCGTTAGGGTCCGCGCGGCCCGACCAGACCCGTCCCGCCCGTCAGGGTCCGCCCGCCCGACCCGACCCGCCCGTTAGGGTTCACGCGTGCTCGCTCCGGCGTGCCCCACACTTCAGTGTCCCGCCCTCCCGATCCGACCCGCCCGTTAGGGTTCACGCGTGCTCCTTCGAGCGCGCCCCACACTTTAGTGCCCCGCCCGCCCGATCCGACCCGCCCATTAGGGTCCGCCCGACTCGACCCGACCCGTCCCGCCCTGTATGCTCCGCCCGCCCGACTTGACCCGTGTGTCAGGGTCCGCCCGACCCCACCCGACCAGTCCCGCCCGTTAGGGTCCGCCCGCCCGACCGGACCCGCCCGTTAGGGTTCATGCGTGCCCACTCGAGCGCGCCCCCCACACTTTAGTGTCCCGCCCTCCCGACCCGACCCGCCCGTTGGGGTCCGCCCGACCCGACCCGACCCAACCCGCCCGTTAGGGACCGCCTGCCCCACCCGACCCGCCCGGTAGGGTTCACGCGTGTCGCCCGGGCGTGACCCACACTTCAGTGCCCCCGCCCGCCCGACCCGACCCGCCTGTTAGGGTCGATCGCTCTGGACCCGGCGCGGGGCATCTACAGACCGAGCGCGTGTGAACACGTCCCAGGCGTCTCGATAGGGCGACGAGATCTATGCATATCCACTGCTCCTGGCCAGGCCCATCCTGGGCCCAGGAGCGGTGTATATGCCTCCCTGACCAAGCCAGGAGGGCGTATACACAGCTCTTGGGCCCAGGATTGGCCTGGCCGGGAGCAGTGGATATGTATAGATATCGTCGCCCTACTCGAACAAGCTGCCAGACTTGCCGTCCCGCCTCTCCGAGCCCCGGGGCGCCGCAGGCGCGCTCCCCCGCGCGCGGAGCGGAGCTCTCGGCGCGCCCGCCCCGAGGCCCGGACGCAAGCATTTTCAAGACGACGGGCACCTTCGCATAGCGAGCCTGCCGCATTGCAGCGGCGGCGAGGGGGCAGGCTGTTTACACCCCAGGCGATGCTTAAGAAAACTTAAGTTTTCGGCCATAATCTCGATTATTCTTAATGTTTCAATGTAAATCCTATGATTATAATCGAAGTTCTGGGTTTTTATTCAAATTCTGAGACTATGAATTTCTTAACCCATGATTTCTTGAGCATCTCGCAGGGTTTACGCTTGCCTGCGCGCGCTGAAGATGCAAGGGGGAAAAAAAAACGGGAAAAGAAGGCGCGATCGCCATCAGGCCGGCCGCTCACGGGGTACAGCCCTGGCTCTGGGCAGTTGTCGTGCCCAGTGCCGTCACGGGTGCAAGCCTGCGCTTCGCTGGCGAAAGCCGGCGCTACGGCGGGCGTATGTCTGCCTGTTGCCGGCGGTGGCTGGCGATCGTGCGGGTGCAAGCCTGCCGATGGTGTTGCACCGCGTGAACTTGGTGCAATTTATGTTCCCCGTGGCAGGTGCATGCCTGCTGCTCGCTGGTTCGAGCCGGCGCTCGTGCAGGTGCAAGCCTGCAGCTAAAGTTGCACCGTGTGGGCGCCGAAATTCTTGGCATTTTCGTTGCGTCCTGATTGTGGTGCGACTGTTTTTTTCCGTGGCGGGTGCATGCCTGCTTCCCGCCGGTGCACGCTGGCGCTCGTGCGGGCGCAAGCCTGCTGCTTAAACTGCATTGTGTGTGTGGACGCCGAAATTTGTGACATTTTCGTTGCGTCTTGATCGTGGTGCGGTTTATTTTATCCGAGGCGGGTGCATGCCTGCTTCCCGCTGGTGCAAGCCGGCGCTCGTGCGGGTGCACGCCTTGCACCGCGTGGACGCCGAAATTTGCGACATTTTCGTTGCGTCCTGATTGTGGTGCGTTTTATTTTCTTCGTGGCGGGCGCATGCCTGCTCCTCGCTGGTGCAAGCCAGCGCTCGTGCTGGTGCTGGTCTGCTGCTCCAGTTGCGCCTCGCCGAGAGCTTTCTGGGGGCCGCGGGGGGCAGGATTTGTTGCCCCGAGTTTCGGCCACGTTCGCAGGACAGCTTCTGCGCTAAGAGCTGAGACATTGAATTGCCACGACGCCTGGGCGCAACAAACTTGACCAAAACGTTACGCTGCAGTCGCCTGCCGAGTGGTACATCCGAGGCGGGGGAGGGACAGTTGCTGACGCCATTCGCTGGTGCATGCCAGCGTGCGCGCGGGTGTAAGCCTGCCGCTTCGGCTTGGCTCGTGCGCCTGTCTGCCGGGAGGGGGGGAAACGTAACGAAGTTCCCCCCGGCATAGCGGTCATTAGGCTGCTCGCGGGTGGTAGCCTGCGTCGGCGCGCGCGGGCGAACGCCTGCCGACTCCAGAGGCCCTTTGACGCCCTCCGATTCCACGGATCTGCGCGTCCACAGCCTTTCGGCCCCGTGGCGCTGCTGGTACCAGCGTGCGCCCCAGCCGTCATGGGCAAGAGAGGCCCCCCGAAGGGCTTCAAGCCGGTATTCTGGCCGCGGCCGCGTTGCGAGTCGCCTGGCGCCTCGCAGGCCTGGCGCGATGGTTCGGCGGGCGCTGCGACGAGCTCGCCCGCTCTGGCGCCTGCCATGCCGCCGGTTCCCGAGGCCTCGAGTGTCCGGGCTGCGGAGCATAGCGCTCCACAGGCGCAGTGCCGTGCGCCCTCCACTCCAGGCGGCGTGGCCCAGAGGAGGGATGCGCCAGTGGTCATGCCCAGGACGGCGCGGGCCTCGCGGCCCACGGAGCCTCTTACCGAAGATGAGCGTGATCGAGTGCTTGAGCGTTACCGCTCTGAGGTCTTCGCGTCCGGAACGCGCTCTGCCAGATCTTCGATCGTGTTTATTTGGAAGTTCTACCACGCAAGATGGTACGGGGATAGCGTACCTGTGCTGCCCCTCACGGTGGGCAAAATTGAGTCTGTCTGCGCGCAGCTGAAGTCGCGCGGATATTCGGCTTTGCCGAACTACTTGGGCGCAGCCAAGGACGCCCACTTGGCGGCCGGCCATCCCTGGAGCGAGTTTCTGGACCGGGAGGTGAGCCGGGCTACCAGGTCAGGCCTGCGTGGGATCGGCGGCCCGAAGCAGGACGCCGAGTTCGACCTGGACGCTGTCCACTCGCTCAGGCTGGGCGACGCCGCGCTGGTGCAGCATGGGCCGCTCGGTCCGGGCAGGCTGTGCGAGTTCGCGTCCTTCTTCGTGCTGCGCGAGATCCAGGCTTCTCTGTGCCTCGCTGTGTCGGTCACGGTGGCGGAGAGCACGCGCGAGGTGACTGTGGCACTTCCAGTGACTAAGACGGACCCGCGTGCGGTCGGCTGCACTAGGACGTGGGGGTGCGTGTGCTTTTCGGGCCCACATGACGCGCCGTGTGCTTACCACGCGGTTGTTGAGCAGCTGGAGTTACTGAAGCGACGCTTCGGGGCGATCTCGGAGGACCTGCCCTTGT